TTTATTTTTATTTAATTCATCAATTGTTCTTATTGTTCTATTTTATTGTAACAGATTGAATAAAAATCCTTTAATAACAAAAAAAAAAAATTAACTATCAGGATGAGTGTGGAATAATTGTTTTATTGTTTGGTATTTTTGTATTTCAGGTACGCCGCATTGTGACGGATACTATGAAAAATGTTCATCCCATTTACAATATAAAAGCTTTGATGATTAAACGTGAACTAGAACGAAATCCTAAGTTAAAAAATGAAAATTGGGATAGGTTTTTGCCTAACTTCAAACCCAAGAATGTGCCTAAAAAGAAATCCACAAAGAAACCAAAGAAACCATACACTCCATTCCCACCGCCTCCTGCAGAGAGCAAGATAGACAAACTATTAGAATCAGGTGAATACTTCCTCAAAGAAGATGAGAAACAAAAGAGGAAAAAGAAAGTCAAAGAAGATAAGCAGAAGGAAGCTAAAATCAAAAGGGAAGCAAGACGTAATATGGCATTTATTCCTCCTGTTGAATAAAAACTGAAAACAAATGTAAATGTATATAAGTGAGAATATGATGATTTTTAATTTTATTAAATATTATTTTTTATTAATTAAAAGTTGAGTACTGTGATAATTTCATATATTTTAACCTAACCTATAGTTAGTTAGTAACTGCCATGCCTCTAATTTTGCTCCAGATCTATATGATATTTTAAATATATTGGAAGATGTCTCATGTTTGATAATAGGTAGATACATACACTAGTATTAAAACTAACAAATCTAAATGTTAACTGCTGAGTGTAATTTTGCTATGTTACACACTTTTCAGAAAATTTACAGATGTCTTCAAGTATAAAATATATTACTTGAAATAAAACAATATTTAAACAAAGCTTCTTTTTCGAAGTACGGACAGAGGTAGATTCTGCTTGAATAGCTATAATACATAACCAGAATTAAGTAATATACTTATATTATTTTAGTTAAATGTTGATATAATATTTTTTTTTTAATGTAGGTTTAAATAATAAGTATAGTTGGAGAATAATGAAAAAATTACCTAGTAGAATTGTATTCAAATTAATAAGTCGAATCGCGGAAAAAATGCCCACGGAAAAAAAACCCACCGAAAAAAAGCCCATGGAAAAAAACCCATAGAAAAGAAATCACCAAGGAAAAAAAGCCCATGGAAAAAAACCCACAGAAAAAAAGCCCTCCTAAAAAATTTTAATTAAAA